TCACTCTCAAACCCAACCAAACTATTCTCTAAATCCTAAACAAATAGGAAATTACAAAAATAACCCCAATGTGAAAATAAACTTTTTTTTTTTGTGACAAAAATCAACTTACAAGCTTGAACTATTACATGGGTGGGGTCTATGAGGAAGAAAATAACAGTAGTACTACTACGAGATAGACTCCACGCGTGCATATCCAGTCCACTTGTCCACGTTTGAAAGCGTGTCCTTTGGCTGATGTTGCCTCCTACCCTGCAGGAAAGCATGACAAGTGATAGTACGCTGATGTGGGGTTCGAACCCGCGTCACTACGGATAAGTGCCAGACCCTCTACTATTGGGCCAACCCCTCATTGGTGAAAATATACTTAGTTTCATTTTAACAGAAATCATTGGGCACAAATACATAGGTGCTTTTTTTCCTTTTTTTTACATGTATCATTTTTTCTAAACCTAACAATCCAAATTAATTATAAGATTTGAAAAGTGAACTATCATTTAACTATTATCTTGGAATTTTGTTTTCAATATTATGACTCATGCGGTAGAATTAAACACCTATACCATATGTTATTGGTTGAAACATTTAAAAAAAATAATGATTAAGACGTGACCAAAATAAATTATATGGAGAAAAACATTGAGAAATTGAAAATAATTATATGGAGAAAAAAATTATGTTGAGAATAAAAAAATATGAAAAAAGAAATGAGCGTAATATTGAAAAATGAAATAATTATTACAAGTCTTTCAAGAAATGAAACTTTAAAGAGAACTCATTAAATTTAGGGGAAAAAAAGGGTAAAGCCTATGCAACCAAGGCAAAATGAAGTAAACACTATTATAGAAAAAAAAAATATATATATACATATATATAATATACTTTTAAAGAAAGATTGAAAAAAGTATATAAAGAGATGGAAAATAAATATAATTTTATCGAATGAAATAATGAGAAAAGTTTTTGTTAGAGGGGAAATTTAAAACATATGACACGAGTAAAAATATTTAGAGAGATCATTAGAAATAATTAAGAGAATACGTTTAAAAGATACTTAAAATAACTTCAATACATTGACAACCGCACAACGTGATGCATGGTAAAGAAAAAGACATGGCGTAAAAGGATAGTTTGCTTATAGGAAAAAAGAAAAACACACAATATTATAAGAAAAAAATGAACACGAACAAACTTCTAAAAAAAAGTTGCAAAAGTTATATAGAGAGATAGAAAAAAAAGATAAGCTTATGGAAAGAAATTATGAGAAATGTTAAGGAAAGAGTTTTAAAAAAATGATATGGATAGAAATATTTAGAGAGATCATTATGAAAAATTAAATAAATCAGCAAAACGAAAAATATGGATAACAAGTTATATTGGATGATTTCTATTCCAAATATACTTAAATAACAAAACACATTGATATTAAAAATTACACATTTTAATTTATATCATTAATTTTTTATTTTTTTTACGTATATCACTCTGTCGGAAATTTCATATAATCGTTAACTGTTAAATTAATATATATCTTAAACAACCCATACAACGTGCAGGGTTCCCGGCGTTATCAAAAAAAAAATAATAACCCACACAACGTGTGATATAAACACTAGTTATATATTAAAGGAGAGTTGCCGATCGACAAGAGTCACTCAATTAGATAGTTCAGAGCCTTTTTGGCCATATGTTACGTTCTGAACCTTTTTTTGACACGTATCAACATCAGTGACCCATTTTCATTAAAGTGTTAAAATTTTTTATAAATTGGTTATTTCAATTTACTTTTCAACCATACTTTTCACCAATCTTTATTATATTCCATATATTTGATTATCTACTTAATTAATAATGAAAAACCCATCTTTTTCATTGCTAATTATTTTTAGCTTTTTTATTGAATGTTAAGAATGATTTTTCACACATTTTTAAGCAAAGTTCACTATGGTGGAATTTTTTTTTTTTAAAAAAAAAGAAAATACATGTAACACAATCTGTCAATGCACATGAATAATTCTAGTACTTCTTCTATACCAAAATAAGTGTCGTCAGATAATTTTACACTTTTTTTAAAAAAAGATACAATATTCTTAACATACCACATTAAAACAAAAAAGTTGTCATTAATTTCATTTTTTTTTAAGACTTTGAATACATATGACAAAATTTGCATAGGAAAGTAGGGAACAATTCTACTAAGAATAACACAATCTTCATTTTAGAATAACTCAAACAAGAGAAAAGCAAATGACCCAAAAATCATATTTACAAGCCCATCAACCCATATTGAAAATTGATAAATTAAACGGAAGGTAGACGCTGTTATGGGTCCTCGTGAAGCTCGTGCCCACCACAAATCCATTCCCTTCGCCACCACAAATCCAGGCAGACAAAGCGAAGCACGTCAGCAATGTCTGCTCAGAACCTCACGCCAATCATCCTTAAGCCCATCCAAGCTTCGTCAACGTCCCGCTGTAGCATATTCCACTCTCTTGGCCGATCTACCGAAAATTTTACATGCGTTGACAATGTTACTCTATTCTTTTTCGGTTAGCCAGTGTTATCTTTATCTATCATACGTTAGTCAATTTTGTCCAATTTATCTAATTTCCGTTAAACTTAATGGATTTCTGTTAGTTTTAATCACAAAAACATCCCAATAGCTTTAAAAATTAAAAAAAAAAGACCCGAAAAAATTGTAAAAATAAGAAAATAGTCTATTTTCACTTTTTATTAAATTTTTCAATTTTCTATTTTTTTACTGTTTTTCATAACTTTAATAATATACTATATGACCTTTTAAAGAAGTATTTTTTTATTTTTAAACTCTACTGTACAAATTTATATTTGCATATTTGTAACTCATGATTGATTTATATAAACATATTAAATTTTTAATAATATAGTTTAACCGTAATGATACTATCTTTCTTATCCATTTTTTTCTTAAATCTAAATAATAAAATTTTTTAATTAAACTTGATTTTTCACCAAAAAAAATATTTAGCTTAGATTAAAAAAAATTATTAGTATATTTTAGTATATTACAATTTAACTCCACATTCTTTAGATTGTATTATACAATTCAAAAAAATAATTAAACTAAAATATATTTTTTCTTTAAAAGAACAAGTACGAACAGAAAGTTTCTTTAAAAAAAAAAACTATTTTGTTTCTACATTGACCCTATATGAGAATATAGTGTTGTGGCATTTATAAAAATGATACAAAATATTTTATAAAATAATATATATATATATATTAATATTATTGCGAGATTTAACATTTTGTGATAATTTTTTTTTGTGAAAATTATTTTTAGTTAAATATTCTTATTCTTTAGATTGGGAAGAAAAATAGATCAATAAAATAGTATCATTACTGGTAAATTATATTATTGAAAAAATTAATATCTTTATATAAATCAACCATGAGTTATAAATATGATAATATAAATTTGTATAGTAGAGTTTTTTTTTAAAAAAAAATCAAAAAGTGATATGGGATTAGGATAGGAGATAGTTATTACCAGGAGGTCAATAAATTCCCGCTAGGACTATTTAATTTTATTTTTTTAAAAAAAAAAAGAAGGAAGAGATCATATGAAAAATATTATGTTATAGACACATAATAAAATAAATAAATAAATAAAATTTTGGTAACACGGGGAATCCCACAAGAGATGGGTAAACCCACGTCCACTGCAATAGACTGCAAACTACAGAGGGAAGTAAACCACCCTAGGCAAGTCCGGGGTGACAAGCTCGGGTGCGAAATTGGGAGTTCATTAGTGGGTTAGCCATAACAAGCCTCTAGAGATGCCAATAAGCAAGGTGAGAGCCAACCCCTCACTTTTTGTTGGAGTTGGGATTGAGCTCATAACCTCATCTTGGAGCAATGGTGGTTTTACCACTAAACCAACTCTTCTTTCGCAATAAATAAATATTTATTTAAAGATCATATAATATGTTTTTATGGTTATGAAAAGTAGCATAGAAAAATTAATAGAAAATAGAAAAAATAAAAATAGGCTATTTTGTTATCTATACAAATGTTTGGAGTCATTTTTAAAATTTTTAAAACTATTGGTGTATTTATTATTTAAAATTAGTAGGAATCCCTTGTTTGATAAACCAGTTAAGCACTTAAACTTATTAATTAAGTACTTAATTGATTAGCACTGTTTGATAACACACTATCATAACAACTTAATTGCTTAAGAACTTAATTTATTAAGGACTTAAATTTTAAGTGTGTTTGATAACTCAAAGTAGGATGTCTTAATAAATTAAGTGGGTCTGAAATACTAGTACAAATGTGTCTAAAAATAAGTGATAGGCCTATCACTTATGTCTGAACTGAATTCTTGAGACGATTTTTTTCTATTTATTTATTTTTATGTTTCTACTTTTGATATTTTATCTTGAAATATTTTTATTAATCATGATGTCTAGTTCTAAATTAAGATTTATGTAAATTATTTTTTATTTAATAAATATTTATTTTTATATAAAAATTAAAATCCATTAAATTCCATGATCAATATATCTTTACCATAAAATATGAATTTTTTTTGACAATGATAAAATATGACATTATTATTAACTGAAAAAATAATAACATAATAAAATTTAAATATTTTTATTACATTATTTAATACTAATATTATTATTTTTGTTATCATAGTTTCATATACATCAATTATCTTTTTAAATAAAATTATAAATTGAGACACTTTAAATTTCAGTGTTCAGACTTCAGATTTCAGACATTTCATTCAGTGTTTAGATTTTGGTTTTTATCAAACACAACAAACCTAATCAATTCAGTAATTATGATTCAGTCTTCAGATTTCAGACTTCAGACCCAAATTAAGTTTTTTCAAACGAGCCCTTAAACTTAATGGAAATTGGGCAAATTGAACAAAATTGCCTAACATCTAATACGGAGTAGATAAAGATAATAATGACTAATCGAAAAAGAATGAATAATTTTGACCATACATGTAAAATTTTTGGTAGATCTGCTAATTTTTCCTTTACAACCCCAGATTGCAAATTGACAAATTAAACGGAACTAACGCCGTTAAAGGTACTCGTGAAGCTCGTGCTAACCACAAATCCTTTCTCTTCACCACCACAAATCCACGCAGCCAGAGCGAAAAAGGTCAGCAATGGCTGCTCAGAACCTCACGCCAATCATCCTCAAGCCCGCCCAAGCTTCGTCAATGTCCCGCTGCACCATATTCCACTCTCTTCCGAAATCCACACTGCCCAGAACGAGAATCACACCAAGAATCAATCAAGTCAGATTCTTTAAACCAATCTCATCAGCTCTGTCAGACCCTTATGTTCTTCAGTTAGCTGAAACTCTTGAAGATTCACTCCCTTCTACTTCTTCCCCACCGCCACCCCTTCAGAAGCTCCGGGATTATTCTTCAGAATCCCTTCTTTCAACTTCATGGCCGTCGAGAAAGGATGAACCTTTTAGGTTCACTGACACTTCTTTCATTAAGAATTCCCGGATTCTTCCAATTGAATCGCCTCAGTACCAGAGTTTAACTTCTTTGGTTGATTCTACGGAGACCCTTGTTCCGGGTCTTACCGTAGTTGATGGTTATTTAGTGAATGATTTGTCTTTGTTGACCGAATTGCCTGATGGGGTTTACGTTGGAGGACTTTCTATGCTCAATTCAGAGGCTATTATGAAAAGGGTTTCTGAATACGTTTCGAGTTTTCAAGGCGATTTGTTCTGGTCTCTTAATGGAGTTGGTGCACCAGAGTTGATTTTGGTGTATGTGCCTGAAGGTTGTAAAGTTGAGAAACCATTGCATTTGAGGTATGTTTCTGTCAAAGGGGAGGAAAAGGAGTCCAAGACTTTACCTGTTTCCAATCCCAGGGTGTTAGTATTGGTGGAGAAAGGAGGGGAGATTGGTATAATTGAGGAGTATGTTAATGGAGATGGGGATCATTGCTATTGGACGAATGCTGTAATGGATGTTGTAATTGGCGAAGGGGCAAAGGTTAACCATTCTTATATTCAAACTCAGTCGTTAGGTGCTGCTCATACCAAGTGGACTTCAGTTAGGCAGGTGAATATTTAAAATCTCAGACTTATCATCTAATGTTCTTGTGAGTTTAACGCAGTTCTCTTCCTTGTTGTCCTTGTTAATTGTTTGTTCCATTGGGAATTGGTAATTTGTACAGAAATAAGGTTAATACATGTGAAGTTTTGCATAAGGATTGCAATTCGAGGTTTAATAGTTCAGATGATTCTCCTGTAAGTAGCACTTAGTGCAGATTTTCGTCAACTAGCATTGAACCATTGTAGGCCACTGATATAAGAAACCAGAGAAGCAACAGGCAGAATATATGCCTAACATCATTACAGCAGACAGACAGTCGGAATTTAAGTTCAATCTCATTTGAATTCTCTTGGTAAACTTGAGCTGTTGGAATGTGATTCAGAAAAAACTTATTTGATCCTGCGTACTTTTATAAAGTTTAATATATCCATGAATGATATGTTTCTTTTGACTCAGTTTTTTGAGCACTTGAAGGTGCTACGATTGCTGATTCCATGATGCTAGATCACTCGGCTGTTGAATGTGTTGTATTAATCCTGTAGTATTCGGAGGTCTGACATGTTATTTATAAATTTTCAGGAATCAAATAGCATCTATAAGCTCACAGAGGTAAGCACTGGTGGGAAACTTAGTCGGCACAATCTTCATGTTCAGCAGTATGGTCCAGATACAGTGACAGAATTTTCAACATTTCACGTAGCTTTAGGTGACCAGACACAAGATTTGCACAGTAAACTAATCTTGGATCATCCACGTGGATTTTCACGGCAACTTCACAAGTGTATCGTAGCACATTCATCAGCGCAGGCTGTTTTTGATGGGAACGTCCAAGTGAATAGGTATTCTTTGTTAGTTAATCCTCAACTTTAAAGTCTTGCTGCTAGTTGACCACTTTCTCTCTTTGACTGTGGTATGTAAGGGATTAGTGGTTTTCCATTTTAAGTTCGACATTGTTAATGTCCTTGAGGTTTTTAACGTTATTAGGCTCCTGCTACTTATGATTTTGTTTTCGAGCCTTTAGTTGATAAACATAAATGAAGCAAATAATGCCTGCCTATTTGGTAGCCTACTGATTAGCATGGCGGCTCTAAGAGACCTTCCATCTGCCTTCCGTGAAATGGGAGTTATTGGTGTGTTGGCTGTGTTGATAAAAATGTTTTGACGGATCTTGTTTAGTTGACATTTTCTCCCTCAATGAATTTATGGATCTGGGGTAACTCTTCAGTGCCAACAATTTCTCACGAGGGCTATAAGAACTGTAGCATTCTGTGTGTGCTGGAGCCATTCCTGTTATATATATATATATATATATATATATATATATATGCTGTGTATGATTATATAATGAATAGTTAACCTGATGTCCTTGTTAGCGTGGTGATTTCATTTGCTGATGGGATCTGAAGGAGTATTAAAAAAACGTAGGTCTGTCAGATGAATGTGATTAGACAAATTTAAGCATATCTTAGATACTTTCTTATAAACTGTTGACGTATCAATACTGTTATATATGTAATACATATATGTGTCATGCAGATATGCTCAGCAAACAGATGCAGGACAACTCACTAGGAGCCTGCTGCTGGCACCTAGGGCGACTGTCAACGTTAAGCCTAATCTCCAGATCATTGCAGATGATGTGCAATGCTCCCATGGAGCTGCAATCAGTGATTTAGAAGAGAACCAGCTCTTCTACTTCCAGGCACGTGGTATTGATGCAGAAATTGCTCGAAAAGCTCTCATCTTCTCGTTTGCAGCAGAAGTGACGCAGCGATTTCCTTACTCTTCTTTGAGAAAAAAAGTTGAGAATCATATACAGAACCTCTTAGATCCTAGACCATAAGACCGGGGTTGATGTACATGTCAAAGTTTTGTAACATTACCGATTAGGCAGTCCATTGTACAGTAATGTGCAAGGATCATACGCTTCTCAGATCAACGAAAACAAGACTAAATCTTTGTATCTGTTTCCTGTGATCACAATCAAGAGTATTGTACAGACCAGGATGTTCCTTTTGTAACCATCATCCTATCGTCATAATAATTCAATCTGTCAAAGCCCTTTGTGATATTTGGCTTCCTGAACTCAATAGGAACGCCGTTGTAATTTGGTTTATCTAAAGTAACACTTAAAATTAGCTTCTGAAATCTAATGCGATGTGATCATTTTTTGCTGCATGTATCTCACTCATGCCTTTCTTGCTGCGTATTTCTAGTGCCTTGCAGTGCCGCAGTGGAAAAGTATCAGTTCAATCACAGTTCACAGGTCTTCAACTTCGTAGAATGAAGCTGTGCCTCTTACACAGTGTATAATTGCAGGCATATTTAACCTCCTAACCATTGTTCAAGGAGGGCACCGAATATTAGTTCCATTCTCTAACTTGAAGAATGTTTTGCCCTCGTGATTTCAATCTGTTCATTCCACATATTTGTGTATAGATTCTTTTAATACCATGTGAAATTTTCGTACTCAGAAAAATTTTCAAGAGACGAATTAGAACTATGTATGTACAGTATTATGTTTTGTTCAGGCTTAAACAGGATGAAAAAGAACACAAAAAAAACCCTCATCGATCCCACATCGCTGCTGTGTGCACACAAAGCACTCTTTATATATGACAAATTTTACCTTGTAAATTGTGTTCGTAGAAAGGAGAGATGGTTGGCATCTCCCCCGACAGGGACGGGAACGACCTTCGGGTCTTACCTGTTACCACACATCCGGTTAAGGCTACCCGCTTCGGCGGATCTTCTAACCCCATTTTTTTTGTCTTTTTTTTTCCCGAATTTTCAAATTTTCACCCCCATTTCTAAAATTAGGGCTCCTCCGATTTAGTTTTACATTTTTACAGTCATTCTGGCTGGATAAGGTCTCCTAAAATATCTCTACAATGAATCTCAAAAACATGAAGAACTGATTCATACTATTTCACTGAAAACCCCAAAAGCCCCTTTCTTTCTCCGCCATGGCTGCAAAACTCTCTGCAGTTATAGATTTCCAGTACCACCATTGCAGCATTTCATGTCCTTCCGACAAGCATCACCCACCATATTTCATTACTCTATTAAGACCCTCCAATCCCAGAAGATTCACCGTTTTTTGCAGTTCGTCTAAATCTCCCCCAAAGCCTCCTCCATCTGATGCGACGGAATTCCGGGCTCGGAAAACACCGTCTTTATCTGAGCAGCTCAAGCCGCTGTCCACCACCATTCTTTCCGACCAACCAAATCCATCCCAGCAGCTCTTATCCAAACCCAAGTCCGTTTGGGTCAACCCCACCAAGCGTAAGCCCTCTGTGCTTTCTCTACAACGCCAGAAGCGGTCTTCTTATTCGTATAATCCCCAAATCAGAGACCTCAAGCTCCTAGCCAAGAAGCTCAATGATTGTGACCCTTTTGACGAGGCTGCTTTCCAAGCTGTTCTTGAGGAGATCCCTCACTCCCCAACTAAAGAAAATACCCTTTTGGTGCTCAACAGTTTGAAACCATGGCAAAAGACTCTTTTTTACTTCAATTGGGTTAAGGCCCAGAATACTTTTCCCATGGAGACTATCTTTTACAATGTCACCATGAAGTCTTTGAGGTTTGGCAGGCAATTTCAACATATTGAGAACCTTGCAAATGAGATGATTGAAAATGGGGTTCAGCTCGATAACATTACTTATTCCACTATTATCTCCTGCGCGAAAAGATGTAATCTTTTTGATAAGGCTCTGGAGTGGTTTGAGAGGATGTATGCTACCGGTGTGATGCCGGATGAGGTGACATACTCTGCTGTTCTTGATGTGTATGCGAAACTCAGGAAAGTTGAGGAGGTTATAAGTTTGTATGAGAGAGGGAGAGCAAGCGGGTGGAAGCCTGATGCTGTTGCTTTTTCTGTGCTGTGTAAGATGTTTGGGGAAGCAGGAGATTATGATGGTATAAAGTATGTGCTTGAGGAAATGAAGTCACTTGGTGTACAGCCCAATTTGGTTGTTTACAATACCATGTTAGAGGCAATGGGGAAGGCTGGGAAGCCCGGATTAGCGAGGAGTTTGTTCGAGCAAATGGTGGATTCAGGGGTTACCCCTGATGAAAAGACACTGACCTCGTTAATCAAGGTTTATGGGAAGGCGAGATGGGCGAAAGATGCGTTGGAGCTTTGGGAACGGATGAAGTCGAATGGATGGCCGATGGACTTCATATTGTACAATTCGTTGTTGAGTATGTGTGCTGATCTTGGGTTGGAAGAAGAGGCTGAGCAACTGTTTCAAGATATGAAGGGATCAGAACGTTGTAAGCCGGATAGTTGGAGCTACACTGCAATGCTAAACATATACGGAAGCGGGGGTAAAGTTAATAAGGCGATGAAGTTGTTTGAAGAGATTAAGGAAGAGGAAGGTGTTGAGCTCAATGTCATGGGATGCACTTGTTTGCTTCAATGCCTTGGAAAAGGGAAGAGAATCGATGATTTGGTTAGGGTGTTTGAAAGTTCAATTGAAAGTGGCATTAAACCAGATGATAGGCTTTGTGGGTGCTTATTGTCTGTGTTGGCTAACTGTGAAGGTGAAGAAGATGCAAGTAAAGTGATTGCCTGTCTACACAGAGCCAATCCAAATTTGGTAGCTTTCATTAAGCTTTTGGTAGAGAAAGAGACTAAATTTGAGGTTGTGAAAGAGGAGTTCAAGACCATACTCAACAACACTGCTGTGGACACCAGAAGGCCTTTCTGTAACTGCATGATTGACATTTGTCGAAAACGGGAACTAAACGAGAGAGCTCATGAGCTTCTTTACATCGGTACATTGTATGGATTGTACCCAGGTCTACATACAAAGACTGCGCAGGAATGGCGATTGAATGTCCGGTCTCTATCCGTTGGCGCTACTCAGACAGCCTTAGAAGAATGGATGGAAACCTTGACCAAGATTGTCGGACGCGAAGAAGAATTGCCAGAATTGCTCTCAGCAAACACTGGAACAGGAACTCACAAGTACTCTCAAGGATTGGCAAACGCATTCGGCTTGCATGTGGAGAAGTTGGCTGCTCCTTTTCGACCCAGCGAGGAGAAAGCTGGTTTCTTTGTGGCATCTAGAGAAGATATAGTTTCTTGGGTGCAATCTAAGGGGAAGCCTCAAGCAGTAACAGCATAATTTAAACCATCATACAGTTTCATAGTATTATAGTTGTAGGACTACTGTAATTCGCTGAAAAAAAGTTTTGCTATGAACCGTACCCTTATACCTTCCTGGATTGTAAAAAGAATCTTACATAGATTATGGTAAATGTTTCCTCTTATATAAGCCGCAATGGAGGGAAGCCCACCTTCAAAATTACAGATTCTCGCGGATATCTAATAGCACCTTTCTAAACCCCCAAACATGTAAAAGCACGGATTTTGGCTCTACAAATGCAAAGCAGAGGAAGAGGAGATACACAATGAATCAGAATCCTGCATCTATGCAAAATTTTATAAAGTAAGAAAAGAAAGAAAGAACGATGCAGTTCCTTTGTTTGCCTACGCACTTTTCCACTGTCCCAACTACAAAAATTTCTATACCATTTCCCGACCCCATTTTTTAAACCTGGCATGAACCTTGCAACGGTCGACTTTGGATATTTTACCCTAAGGATGCAACTGCCAGCCAGTATCGGAACTTATATCCAAGAGAGCTGAGTTCTTTAACTTTCCCAACCTCAGTTGATAAAGACTGCCAGAGACCAATGCTTCAACCCCAACTTTGTACAGACTAATCATCATCAAAAGATGTTACAGTTAAGCAGACTCAAGGATACTTCCCAGAAGACTTCCAAATTCTTCCTTCAAGTGAGATAATCATTACAGTCACATCATCGTGATATTTCCTGCGATCACCTTGAGGGATGTCCAGCAATTCATGAAAGTCCATTCCTGCGGATGAGAGAAATTAGCTCATTCTTTTAGCCAAAAAGAATGTTATTTGATGAATTATATAAACATATGACAAACGAAATTTACAAAGAGTGTAGGAGCACATATATAATCATATCATCATTCATGGCATTCTAAATATTATACTCCCCCTGTACCACATAGAGTCCACTTTGTAAATTGTAAGTTATACTAAGAACATTATGGGATGGAGGGAGTATTTGAAGTTAAAAGGAATTTCGTTCACAAAGCACTCGATGGTAATGTACAGATGATGGTACAAGCATGCCAGAATAGGGCCTGACTTCAAGGGGTAAACCATGGAATTTCAAAATAATCATACAAGCACAAACCAACAGTTAATTGAGTTAAGAAGTTTGCCTAATCTATAGCAAATGAAAACTATTGGAAGTAGGTAATTGGATGAAAACTACTCTTCCAGGCAGCAAGCGACAAAATCCATGAAGCAATCCCGATAACACAAGACACAAATTGAACATAATTTGCCATCGACTAACCTAAAACCACCAAAAGTAATGGTCAAGAGAAGAGGAACAAATCACACAGTTCCAAAATAATCATATAAAAGAGTCTCCGAGAAGGGAACAAATCACACAGTTCCAGTTCTAGAAGGTGGTGAATTAATGCACCTCTGTGGATGCAATCCACTGTCATGAACAAAATGCTTTTAGCATCATCTTGGCGCAAAAGATACTTAAAAGGCAACTCAGCATGTGCGACACACAAAAGTCCTATTTCTAATTCTCTGAGCAAAGGCCTTATAGTTAGGAAATATACCAGCTTTTCTAGCTGCACGCAGGAGAAGCTCTTCTATCAGGTGCTGAGCTGGGTCTCCATCGGGAAACTTCTCCATGAAATTTTCAACAAAGGAAACTACCTCCTGGTTACTCAAGTACTGATATAAGCCATCAGATGAGAGCACCAAAAACTGATCTCTGGGACAGAGCTTATGGTGACGAAGAGAAGGCGAGCAGGAGATGTAAGGAGCAGTGCCAATGTAGTCATTCCGGAACATTTCTAACAATGCATCATTCAGCTTAGGCTGCACAAAGATACATTAAGAAATCTTTAAGCAAACTATCAAATCATACCAAATATTTGCACGACAGAACTCATAATGGTACAATGACAGGAACTAAGAACAACAAGACCCACTTCCTTACGATATAGAGGACAATTCACTTGCATAGAACCCCACAAGCATGTAAAAAGTTATTCTCAACAGTTCCCTTCCCATCCCCCGATAAACCAAGAAGAAGTAAGCACTGCCCAACAGAAAGTAGACAGTACAAAAGTTAATAATCAAACCTGTTTGAGAAAACCAGCCCCAAATGCACGGGTAACTTTTAAACGACCTTTAACTCTATCGTTGACAATGCAATTGCTATCATCAGGGTGTTCATTCTTGATTCTGATGATTTCCTGGAAAGAGTAAAGAGTAAAAGCATAAGCACCGGAGAAAATAAATTTCAATAAGTACCTTCCTGTTCCCTGTACAACCCTATTATAGGTTGTATTTCAAGAGAGTATTTTCAGTAAAAAACATGATAACCTAATGGCAGCAAACAGAAAAAGATATGAAGATCTGTATACCTCAACAGATTCATATGAATTCAACCACATTCTACTATCTTATTCCATAAAGCAGTAAATATAATACTGAAACTTCATAAAGCAGTAAATATAATACTGAAACTTCATAAAGCAGTATATATAATACTGAAACTTTTGCGTATCTAGTAGAATTTGACATAATCAAATAGTATATAGAAAGTCAACATTCTAAAATTTGCAAAAGAGTGACACCAACCCTGCCATTCCACTGTGAGATTTGAAAATTAGTAGAACTTCTTATCACTATCAGAGGACCTTCACAAAAGACAGTTCTAATTGTTTATACATGCTCTTGGGCAAAAATCTGTAACCCCAATATCCAATATCTGACAGCAGTAACTCTACTTCTCTGAAACCGAGTCCTTGGTCAAACTGGAAACTGAAAGTGGATGCAATCTATTAAAGCATATACCAATGATTAGTGAAAAACAACGAGAGCTAATGCTGCATCACAGGACAGTTTATTCTTTACTACAAAAGGTGCAGAAAGATGAAGCAAACCAATGCGATGCAGCACCAAACGATAACCATTTTTCATACATGTGTATCTTCATTCTAAATACTTTAGCCTACCTCTTTCAGGGGAGGACGGTTGGGTCAGTAGTAAGCACATAGTTGTTGCATTTCATATGATAGGGGTTCCATAAGAAATCATGCACTTATAGAACACATTAACAAACTACAGTCCAAATAGCTGATCTCACAAAACACCCACAAACAGGCTTGGGTGTTGTCGTATTCTGGGAATCCTCAAATCCCCCTGCTCCCCACTCCCACATACGCCAAGATAAAGGAGAGACAAAAATTGGAACTGAATCCAGGGAGTCTATAAAGGTTCAAGAGGTAGGATGCACCTTATCGGCCAAACTAAATGGGAAAGTATGACAAGCCATATCCCAACATCGCAGTATGATAATAGAAAGGTCCACTTCATGGGTCCATCTAAATAATGCAGCACCAAAATCATTCAGGGAAGAAATCATGGGTGTTCCATAAATTCATCAAAACATGATTTAGACATCAAATAATGGTCCAAACCAAGGGAAAGCATTCAAACAGCTAGCGAGGTGAATGAAGCTTCCTTCTCTTCTCTAATCTTAACTTCCTCATTTAATCCAAAAAGTGAGATCAGGGAAAAGTAAACACATGGCCACAATAATCAAAAAGGGGAAACTTCATAACACTGCAATTAAGGATGCATTTAAGTCATAATAATGTCTCCAAAAGGTACGAATTAAAAACTTGTTTCCTTCATGGTTTCCTGCGATGAACATGTTTCTATTGGGACCAAAAAAAATCACCTACAGTTGCCACAAAACTAAATACAACAACAATGGTCTTCACTAAATAAAATTATTATGCCTCTCCGTTTAATGTTACTCGAATAACTTAAATCTGTATCTAGTTCATAATGAATACTACTTTTTTTACTGAAACCTGCAGCGGAGAAGAAAGAGCAGCCAACATCTACCAGAAAACCAAAATGAGGTGCTTCAGGCAAATATCTAACATACACCACCATTCAAATCACAAAACGTGGATTAACAAGCTAGCTAATGTTAGGAATACTCTAGCAACAGAAGTCAGCAAGCAAATGAATCGGAACAATAAGATCATCAGATTAAAATTACATTAATAGTAAATTCAGCACTTGCGATAAGATCAAACGTAAAATAGAGTATGTATACACTTACTTCCTCAATGCTAGTGCTATGATCTGTGGACAACTGTAACGCCGACAACTTCATAGGTTGAAAAGGAGCCTCATCTGCCACTTTTGTTCCCTTTTCAGTGGCATCTGCTAACTCTTCAACTATAACCCCGTGCACATTCGACCCACTGTCACTTGAAGCGTTAATTTCTGCACTAGAACAACCTTCTACAGGCTCATACTGAGCCACAATTGCACGACTATCACCGACATTCATCACATAAACATCTTCATCCCTCATCAATGCAACCAACAAACAAGAACCCATCAGTGCAAGCTCTGGATATCGGTCAAGAACTCTGTCAGTCATATTCAAATATGCAAGCTCAGTCACTTCAAGAGCCCTGGACATTGCACTCAACACCATGTCATGGTCAACTGGACCTACCTTCCTCATTTTTCCACTTCTATTACTTGTCTGTTCGGGCACTCTGCTCTCCTCCACTTCCACTTCTTCTGTCTCTTTACCTGCCAAACCAAACTTCCAAGGAAACAGACTTCTATTTTCCTTATGCTTAATTGCCAACCCATGCTTCAGTTTTGACAACAACAATGATCTTCTACTCACCGCTGTCCCGGCGGTGCTCACGCTAATTGCATCATCCACTGAAAAAGCAAATCTATCGGAACCTGAAAGATCAAGACCATCTTCAGCCTCTGCTTCCTGGAGGAATTCCCATAATCTCCTCCTCCTAACTTGAATTTCCTGGGATTGAAAGGTCACCTTCTTAACTGATCCCCTATTTGACTCGTTTTCTTCTTCTATTTCTGTAACTTCCTCCCTAGATGTACTCTCTTCCACTGGCTTATCCAAATTTGACGGGATGTTACTCTCAAGATCAACTACATTTTCTGCAATTGCATTAACTTCCTGACTACTACTACAAGTCTCCTCATTAACCCAAAATAAACCCTCTAATTCTTTATACATTGCTTTGTACAAGTTACTCATTAAAAATTCAGGCGCATCAGGACCATTAAAACCGTCATAAATCCCTATGAATAACCACCCAAGCTCCTCCGATATAACCACCTGTACCCGATCCTCACCTGCTTTCCCCAGAGCCCACTGCACATTACTCTCACTCGGGATCTCTGTCTCGCCGGAATAACCACTTGGGACGGAATCCTTCCGTCCACCAACAAAGTTTCGCACGGGCACGACCCAGGGCCGCTTTTTCTCAGGGAAGTTTCGGTAGAAGGCCTTCCGAAATCCAGAAATGCTCTTCTTCCTCTTCTTTTTTACATACATACCACCTAACGGCGCCGAGAATGGAACTCCACCGCCCCCATCGGAACCCGCGGCGGCATCCAGCGGCCCCGAGAGCGCGCCACGCTCGATCGGACCAGACATAAAAAAAGTCCGTTCCATTTGACCAGAGCTTTCGCCAGTAGCAGCTTCCCCACGCGGCACGGGCTGCAAAGGCAAGGCACTAAACAGCGAGGAACTCTCGAAGCCATTAACAATACTCCCCTTGACGCCGGAGCTAAAACCTAGAGAAGAGCCGCCGGCACCGTTACTATTGGCACCGCCACCAATCTCATTGGCGGCGGCGGCGGCATCGTCGTCGTAAATACCGTCGAGCTGAAGAACGGTGCGGGGAGTAGAAGTGTTGGCACTGACGGAAGCACCAGAAATCGCCCGGAAGGCGGTTGTTTCGGGGAGGCCAGAGCCGGGAGGCCGGGGCTTGGGAACCGGGTCGGAATCGAACCGGAGAGACTGAGAAGGGGAAACAAATCGATCGGAGTGAGTCGGGGAAACAAAGCGGGCGGATGAGCGAACGTAACAAAAGGAATGGCCCAAGGTCTCGTCGAGGGGCTCGGTGGCGGTGAAAATCACCTCCGGTTCGCCCCGGTTCACCGCCGGGTTAAAACACGGGAAGAGCTGCGAAAATCCACCTCCCATATCACATTCGATTCATTTCCCTCCTTCCCCCCACCCCTCACACTCCTTCTTCTTCTTCTTCTTCTTCTTCTATATCTCTCTGTTTATAAATACAGAAATAAAACAATACTCTGAGGAAGTGAGAAAAAGAAAGGGTGGGAAATGGTTTTGGTAAAAATGTTTTTGTTTTTGTAAAAATGGTGGAGGAGGTGGTGTTGAAGAAAGGAATTGAAAGTGTTTAGTGTGTGAGTGTGTGAGAGAGAAAACTGATACACTCAACCAAAAAAAAAACAAAAAACACGCAGTGAAGTGTGACTGTGTGTGGATGGTAAGTCAAAATACAGTACTTCTTCTGCTGCTGTTAGTTCAAGAGGGGGAGAGAGAGAGAGAAAGGGGGGGAAAATAAATTATAGAAAAATAGAGTGTACAAAATTTATTTACAAAAACAAAGGTGTTTTTCGAAGTTCAAAGAAGAGAGAGAAAGAGGTGGGTCTAGGTGGTGGGTGAAAGCGTCGTTGATCGATGAAAGCTAAAATAAAGAAACAACAAAAACTATAGGAAGAAAGAAAGAAAGAGAGAGAATGAGAGAATGAGAAAGGAGCGGCTTTTTTTTTATTAAAATTCTGTTGTTTTAAAAAAAAAAAAAAAAAAAAACGAAGAGAGATAGAGATGGAGAGAGAGAGGGAGAGAAGTAGACTTTTACTTCCATTTGGGAGGGAGTAACGGTGTTAAAATGGACATCCCAATGAATTTGAAAAGTGTTACCTAATTGGGGTTTTTGTTTTTTTCTCTTTTTTCCTTTTGGGTTGATTAAATTTCGTAGTGTATATGATGATTTCTTTGTCCAACTTTTTATATAAAATTCAAAACTTTATTTTATGAAAAAAAAATTAATTGTGATTCTGACTCAAATAAGTTGTGTTCCAATGTATTTTTCGTATAATTAAAAGAAATATAACTTAGATTCTATTAATCCCTTTGTCCCAAAATTATTGTCCAGTTTGAGGTTTCATTTTTAGTACAATTTAAACTAAAAATAAAAATCCAAACTGGACAATAATTATAGGATGGAGGGAGTAATACTTTGTACGTGGAAAATATCATTTCAACATTTCCAAGTGATACGAACGTATTCCCAATCAGTGAATCACAAAACCTTCGATATCCAAATGAACCAGCTAAATCTAACGACTCTATAGTCAATAATGTCAAAACCTTAATTCGCCAGCTTAAAAATACAAATCGCTTCCCGAATTTGTTCTCTAGTGATTAAGGCCTTGTTTCTTTGTCGTTTCATTTTATTTTTTGTTTCATTACCTCTTAAACACAAATCCTAATACACTATTCAAACATCAATTTTATTTATCTTTTAAACTATTGTAAAGTTTTAACTTTAATCACTAAATTATTGTAAAGTTTGAAGTCTGGTCACTATACTATCTCACTTTTAAAAAATGGCCACTATACTATAATACTTTCCAAAAATTGTCACTAAATTACATTTTAAATCTCCTCCCAAATCCAAATGAAAAAAACTAAAACAAAACGTTGTCCAAATATCAGCTACGTCATGTGTAAGTGTTTCCATTAACCAATTCAATTACGCCTTACTCACATAAACTTATCTCAATGCGGAGATCTTTTTTTTTTTTCAGGTACGTGTTAATTATACATTAGAAGTTAAACTTAAACTATTACATTTAGCTTAGATTATATGTTATATTATGCATCTCAGCTACTACATCTCTAGGTACTTTCATTATAGTATAGTTATACCATTATTTTCGTATACATAGAATCCCAAACAAGTTGAAGGCCCTGAAATAGACCCCACAATTCTTATCATTAATTGAACAATTCAATCGCAACAATTTTTTTTTTCTTTATCATGTTCAGGTTAAAAATTTACAAATTTATAGCATTAAGTGAAATGACTTCCCTTATTTATGAAACTATACTTCTCAAAATCATGTTCCGCAAAGCAATATATTTGTCAAATGAGACATATACTATTTCAGTCTTTAATTTTTTTTTCCAATCAATTTAAGTCTTTAAATTTTTGCATCTTTCATCTTAAAAAATAAATAAACGAAATGTACGCAATTTAAAAATGTTATTTATTAAAATTTTATAATATTTAATGTGATATTTTCTCTATTTCAAAATATTTATCGTTTTAATAAAATAAAAAAATCCAAAATATATACCTCTTCCATCCTAAGAAATAGACTACATTGTAAATTTTGAGTTGTACTAAAGATAATATAATTTATAATTTACAACATGGAAGTATTTTCATGGGTTAGAGGAAGTATTATTATACAAAATCGATGCATATTTATCTATTTTTTCGAAAATTAACCTTGTATATCGAAGTAATAGTTGCGTTTAAAATTACTTTTATAAGATGTATAATAACACAAATAATTTTATATTTTAACCACCATATTTAAAATTTTATTGGTATTGATGAAATTATTAGAATAACACATATTTCAAATGAAGAGAATTTAATAACTTCAAGCTGAGGTAATTTTGGAAAGTAAGATAAACAACACCAACACGTATTTGAGAGCTTTGATGAAACGATGTGCTAGCATTTATAGTGAATTGACCACAATTAATTTGTGTTACTCCCTCCATTCTAAAATAAGTGTCATTCTACACTTTACATATAGTTTAAGAAACTCTTAAATATGGTAATAAAATTATTTGAATATTCTTAGCCAACCTCATTAAAAAAAATGTCCACTAATAGTATTAATTCTTTTGAGGGTAATTTTTGGAACTTTGGACAAAAACTGCGTTGAAATGTGAGAACGGTACTTATTTTGAAATTTTTCAATTTTGCTAGAACGACAGTTATTTTGGAACGGATGAAGTACTGATCAACAAATGAAACACTTACATCAATTGGCCGATAAATTAATACACCTTCATCGTAAATAAAGATTGAAATAATCTTAAGTGTTCGTATAAAGTATACACGTTTTAAATTAATTTTAAGTGAAAACTAAAGAATAAAAATACTCTAATACTCCCCCTGTCTTAAAAAAATTCGCTTTGAGTATTCATATTTATACTAAAAATAGTACAAATATCAAAATTCAATTTTGACTATTTTTGTAGGATAGAAGCCGTAGTTGATATCTCATCCCATAATGAATTTATGTCTGTCGGGTGGTCGTCTTATAATTACCTCTGTTCCAAATAATATATATATATGGGAGCGGCTAGAGTCTCGTTACGGGACGGTTCCGTTTAAGTATAATAATCGTAGGATTAATAAGACTAATTAATTACCGTATGATTAAAATTATGGTGCATCATAAGTAAATATACTTAAATCCACCTAATTAAAACAAAAAAATTTATAAAAAATGGTTAATTTTACCCAAAGCTTCAAGTGTCTGGCCAATTTGACCCAAAAGATTTTTGGGAAGTAGTTTACTCTTTTTTATATTAGAAAAAGATTTTGTGGACTCCATAATTTTGACATCTTTACCCCCATGTTTTTAGATGTTCCAATCCATAGAATTTTCAAAATCAATAAAATAATATTAAATTAATTAAAAAAATTTAAAAAATTAAAATTTAATTTTTTTTGAAAAATTTTCTTTCTTTTTTTTTAACCCATGTCCATCACAGTACAATTTTAAAATAATACTAAATTAATTAAAAATTAAAATCACAAATAATAAAATAATATTAAATTATTAAAAAAATATTTTTTTAAAATCAAAATTTAATTTTTTTAAAAAAATTTTCAACGTACTTTTTAAACCCGAGCCCATCACTGTAGAATTTTCATTCTATTCTTCATCCTATATTTTGTAGATTCTATAATTTTTTGTTACAATCTACTAATAGGTAAACTCACTACAATTTCATAAATTAAAACATATCCAAAATAAGAAATTAGATTAGAATAAAATCTTAAATTTTAATTTAATTATTCATTTTATCAGAACTTTCGTAAAAGTAATATTTTTTACTTTACTCTAAGCGCACCAAAATTAAAAATTATATCAAAATTTGTGCAAAAGAAGATACAGTTCTATTTTTTTAAAAAAATTTCATTTGAGTTTCAAAAATTAAACTTTTAAAATTTTTATTAATTTAATATTTATTTTAATTGGTATTATTTTTATAAATATAATTGTTTTAATATTTATATTAATATTTTATTCAATATTAATTTCTTTGAATAATAAATATTTTTATTCCGAAAATACCCTATTGACTTAAACATAAAGATGGTCAAACTCTTAGAATATTGTTAAAGGACCAAAAAAGTTACAAATAAAATATAAAGGACCATTTTAGCCAAATGTTAATTTAAAAGACCAAAATGTTCATTTTGCTTACTGTAAAGTACCATGATACCAAAAGAGAAATTAGTTTGGGAAAATTGTAGAATGTTATTCACCTCATGATTACATGTTATATCCTACATATTGATTGGTTGAAAAAAAAAATGGTACAGTTCTGTAAAATTGTCCAACGGGACTTTATATATATATATATATATATATATATATATATCGAAATCCAACATGAATTATTTAGTATAATTTTGCTCCTATAAAAAGAAATTTTCTTGCGATTATCCTCGATGCAAATCCTGAATCTTTGAAGAATTTGAGAATTTTGGCTTATTGATGTTTGATTAATCGTATATTCAAATTTACGCATCCTTCAGAAATTCATTGAATATCATAAAGAAATGCTGGGGTTAAGAAACTTGTCAAGTCTGAAATATAGGGGGGAAATAGAAAATAGTGTGACACGTCTTGTGTCTTTTTGAATTGGAAGTTTGGAACTTTTCCTTGAATAGGCGAAAATGCCGTTACGAATACGATAAAATTACGAATGAGGATAGCTTCGGGATTCTCTTCGAGGGAAGTGATGAGGTCAACGTGGAGGGCGAAATTTGTCTTTATACGGTGCTTTTGTCTTTACGGTTGTTTTGGTGTACGGGGGACTGATTATGTATGTGTCGAAAGCTCAAGGGTCAAGCTCACGTTTTATCCTTTTTGCAGGGATAGTTTTGCCTTTGTTTACCATTCCACCTCTTTAATTTTTGTTTTGAGGAAAAAAGAAACAAAACCAAGCAAAGACTTAGCACCGAAAAATCTAGTTAGTTTTTTTTTCTTATTTTTTTTTCATTGCAAGAAGAAAATTTTACTCCCTTGTTTTCGAAATGATTGTTCAATTTGTACTTTTTTTTTAGTTTAAATTCTTTAAAAAAATAAAAAATCAAATTAAACAATAATTTTGAGATAAAGAGAATACTAATTACTAGTCATAGAGTTGAATACCAAATTTACTACTCCCAATTCATCTACCCATTATCAAAACAATAGGTGCTCAAAAAAAAAAGAAAAGAAAGAAAGATCACAGTAAAATATTCTCTCTCTTTTCTAAAAAAAAAAAAAAGAGTCCATTTTATTGTATGAAAAGTAACAAAATATCTCTAATTACACTCAATTATGTCGTTGATTTAAAATAAACGAGTGCAGTTAGGAACAAGAAAAGACAATCTCAAATTCAATCGACCTCGTAGAGTCGTAGCCGAAGAAGGAAAAATAAATAGTGACATTCTCAACAAATATTTGGAATGACGGTTCTCTCAAGTGG